CCGGTCGTCACGGCGGTGCCGGGATGTTGAACGGCGCCGCGAGGAAGATCTGGGCCGCGAGTACGACCGGTGCCGAGGTGACCCTCGGCGCCGGGACTCCGAGCGGCGTCGGGACCTGCTTCGGGATCTGGAGCGGTGCCGAGAGACTCGTGCTGGCGACGGTGGGCGCACCAGGGCAGGCTTGCCTCTGGACTGCAGCACACGTGGAGCCACCGGTGCCGGGAGTTGCGACGGCGCCGGCTCCGTGAGGGCGATCAGGTCTCTCGCCGTAGCAAAGGTCTCCGGGGTGGAAGGGAGACAAGGTTCCACCACCAGCCTTGGTGGGGAAACAGTCCGCACCGGACTCAACGGCCTCGGTGCCGGAGTCGACGGTGTGGCCGCCTGTCTTTGGCGGTCCAGCTGCGGACGCGGCTCTACCCCCGGCACCGGGGGAGCCGGTACCTTCGCGGCAACAACGTCCCGTGTCTTAGCGGTCTTCTTATGGCCCGGAGAGATGGATCGGTGCCGAGGCTCTTTGGGCGGGCGCGGTGCCGACGTCGGTCGGTGCCGAACAGTCTTTTCTGCCGCACCGGTCGAGCCCGCCGGGGCGCTGCGCACCGAAGCGCTCGGTGCCGGGACAGGGCGCGCCGAGGGAGGATCTGGACTCAGAGCCGCCTCCATGAGGAGCTGTCGGAGCCTAAAGTCCCGCTCCTTCCTTGTCCTTGGCTTGAAGGCCTTGCAGATAGGGCACTTATCTGCTGGATGAGTCTCTCCCAGGCACTTCAAGCAGGAGCTATGCGGGTCGCTAGTTGGCATGTGCTTCCCGCAGGACGCGCACGGCTTAAAGCCAGGAGCCTTGGGCATGGGCCCGGCTGCGCGCCGGGGGGAAAAGGGGAAAAACACCCCCTAAACCCCCGATAACAACTTACAACTATATATATATACACTATAACTAACTACTAACTAACTTGAACAACTATCTATATAACTAAATACAACAAGAACAATGAAAGCTAGGGAGTGTGGAGATCAGCTAAGCCGCGCTCCACAGTTCCAACGACCGTCAGGGGCGGTAAGAAGGAACTGAGGGGGCGCTGGGTCGGCTGGGGTATATATCCAGCGCCATAACGGCGCCACTCTAGGGGGCTCCACAGCCGACCCACCGGGTGTTGCTAGGGTAAAAATCTTCCGACGATCGTGCACGCGGCGCGCACACACCTAACTGGAATGGATATGAGCAAGCACTCGAAGAAGAACACTGTATATCTTCTTCATGACAATGACCTTCTTTTATCACAAGTGCAACCAGGTTTCCTCCTCACAAAGCAGCAGCAGATCTGTCTGAGTACCAAGCAATACAACATGTGGCTTTGCTGGAAGCTCTAGTGGTGGATCACATATTTCTGGAGGTCAGATGTGTGGTTTTGGCAGGAGAGCTAGTGGTGGAGTGTGGAATTCTGGTGTTGGGATGTGGGGCACAGGTGGAGCTTGGGGAGTCAGTTCTGGATGGGATGGTACTGGAAGTGGCTCAGCTGGAAGCTTTTAAACCAGTGGTGCATGAGGGTTGTTATTGGTGGTGACAGTGGTCTTCTCTGTGGTGATGAAAAACAAACCATGCAAAACCTTAATGACCGTTTGGCATACTACTTGGCAAAGCACATGCTTTGGAGGAAGCTAATGGTGAGCTTTCAGCTTGGAAAAGAGGAGACTAAGGGGGGATATGATAGAGGTATATAAAATCATGAGTGGTGTAGAGAAAGTGAATAAGGAAAAGTTATTTACTTCTTCCCATAATACAAGAACTAGGGGCCACCAAATGAAATTAATGGGCAGCAGGTTTAAAACAAATAAAAGGAAGCTCTTCTTCACACAGCACACAGTCAACTTGTGGAACTCCTTGCCTGAGGAGGTTGTGAAGGCTAGGCCTATAACAGCGTTTAAAAGAGAACTGGATAAATTCATGGAGGTTAAGTCCATTAATGGCTATTAGCCAGGATGGGTAAGGAAGGGTGTCCCTAGCCTCAGTTTGTCAGAGGGTGGAGATGGATGGCAGGAGAGAGATCACTTGATCATTACCTGTTAGGTTCACTCCCTCTGGGGCACCTGGTATTGGCCACTGTCGGTAGACAGGATACTGGGCTGGATGGACCTTTGGTCTGACCCAGTATGGCCGTTCTTATGTTCTTATGAAAATTAATGAACAGTATGCTAAATTTGGCCCAAGAGCTGGTAATGATGGAAGACCTCACGGCTACAGTACACATTACACAATGATTGAAGACCGGTCTGACATTCTAAATTGCATGTTACAAGAAACAGAGAAAATTGAGACAGTTTCAACCAAGGATGATTCACTTGCTCCAGAAACCTGTCCTTTTAAGGCTACAGTAGAGATTCTTAAACTTTGGTGTGCAGAGCACTGGGTGTCAGAAAGCTGGCTGGTCACATGGTATTGGCTCCTCCTCCTTATTTCTCGTTGCTGAATTACACTCAAAGAAGCTATAAACACATTGAATATTTTTCCACAAAGGCAAGTGCTTTAGTTGCCACAAGGATGTAATATAATCATGAATAGAAGGGGAAATAGTTCACAAAATAATCTCTGTATTAAAATGTGTCTCAAAATATGAAAAAAATTGAAAATACCTGGTCTTTATCATCATATAGTGCATGTCTATTTAATAATATAGATATGGGGTTCCCTTTAGGCTATGAGACAGGCAACATGTCAAGTTTTTATCAGAAGAAAAAAATAGTTTCTCATGGAGGAGAGGAGAACAAAACACATATTCACACATAAAAACACAGTCTTATTTAGTCTGTATGTTTTTAGGGCAGGGATTGTAACTTTTTTGTGTCTATCCCATGACTAGCTCATTGTGGACACTACCAGAAACAAAGAATAAATAATCACATTAATAATTTAAAACTTTTTTTATTTGTACAGGATTATCCAGAGAGGCTTTACTAATTAAATTAGCTTTCAATCCTTTTGTATGAATAATTTAAAATGTTGTTATAGTAATATGTGCACAGGCTTCCTCTTTTCCAAACTGTATCTTAGCTACATGGCAGGGAGGAGAAGGTGGGGACAGAGAGTTGGAAAGATAATCATTTTTTAAAATCAGAGGGGTAGCCATGTTAGTCTGGATCTGTAAAAAAGCAACAAAGAGTCCTGTGGCACCTTATAGACTAACCGATGTATTGGAGCATGAGCTTTCGTGGGTGAATACCCACTTCGTCAGACGCATGTGGGTCTGACGAAGTGGGTATTCACCCATGAAAACTTATGCTCCAATACATCTGTTAGTCTATACGGTGCCACAGGACTCTTTGTTATTTTTTAAAATGTGAAGCTGAAAGGAGCCAGTTTTCTATTAGAATAGTGTGGTAGTCATTTACCTTTTTTACTTTTAATTGTCTGTTTCTTTATGAAAATTAATAAAAGTAATCACAAAATTAAAGTGTGTTGTGAATGAGAAATTTATTTTAGGAGAGTAGGTTTAACTGGGGTTTGGAGCCCTTTTGTTTTGGTTCTCTACGTTGACTATATAAAGCAATAAAGTGATGTTGGGATCCACTAGGCATAGCTACCAGGTAACTCGGGAGAGCGGA